GGCAGATAAAAAAAAAAAAAAAAAAAAAAACATAGTCAAAGTATTTTCAGATTGGCTACCTTAACGTCATTCTTGGACATTATTCATTGTAACCCAGTGGAACTGACTTACTGCGGGAACAATTTATTTTACCGACCGTTTTACCTAAAGACTAGTCAACCGAGATACTGAAATGGTGTATAAAATAAAAAAAAAAAAAAGTTGATAATTTTGGATATTCCGTAAAATCGAAATTGCGATTTTTAGCGAGCTTCTGTTGGAAAAAATAATTTTTTAAAATTTTATTAATACTTTGACTTTATTGAAAATTCATACGTATATCTGGCAGAAAGTGAGATTTGAAATATCGTGTGAATGTACTTGAAACTTATGATAGTACATTATAAATTGCACGTGTTATGTACGAATTCTAAAAGGGGGTTAGGAGCTTTGAGAGACTTTGACAGCTGTGGGCTTTTCGACTGACTCTTTTCGAAGTCGACGATTATTGTCGCGCATGCGCGTTACGTTAACGTTTACGAAACAATCGTCACGCGCGCATATCAGCAAATTTTTATCATTCGCCGTTATCGTTGATAACAGACAGATACGTAGCTTTACCTTTGGCGTGAACTCATTTGAGAAATATGTATACGCTGCCGAACGAGAGCAAGTGAAGGACTTTTACAATAAAAAGATTACAAAGCAGCCTGGGCCGCGCCTTGCGACCCGAGAAAGGAAACGAGTTAAATGTAGCTAAAAGTTCATTGAAAAAGGATAAGCATAACTTTCCTCGAGCCGTTCGTGAATCGACTTTTCGTGATTCACACGAATTTCGTACAATTCGTCATGTACGATATGCGAGTTATGAATAATAGAAATATAAATACTGGACGAGTTTGGTAGAATGTAAATTTTATATAATCATAATGGCATCGTACACACGTATATCATATAGTATAACATCTAAATATTCAAAAATGATAGTTTTTCGCATTGGAAGTCTCCGCAAAGACGTTTAAAATTCCGTAATGTAATCAGGGTAAAAAAGGGTTCTTGATTAAAAAAAAAAAAAAAAAAAAAAAAAAAAATTAAAAACGTCCTCCCGATGATAATTTACCTCGATTTTCTTCTTTCGAAACTCGAGTCACAAGAAACGTCAGACAAGATCGCCTTCGGATTCAAATATCACAGAATAAGATTCATTAACCCGAATGACTCGTCGCGTGTGCAGGACCCGTTTGAAATTTAACATATTCCGACGGGCGAACAAAAGAACCCTATAACGAGACATACAATATGCCGGCGAAA